GGGCTGAGTCAGTCGTTCCGCTAGCCACGCATACCAATATTATCGTACCTGCCAACCGGAAATGTTCTCTTTTCAATGTCAAAGACTCCAACCGAGACTACTTATCAGTTTGACCATTTTTGGTGTGATACCGACCGCATTTACCAATATTTGTTTCATACTCCAGTTTTCTCCCCCACAAAAACAACCGTGACAATTGTTTCCGCCAAGCCTGTCGCCAAAATTGACGGCATTGTTGCCAGACACACTGTTGACACATTAGCGACAATGCGTCGGATTCACAACACTCCCTGCGGTGCCTTTACCTGGTGGAACATCCTCCCCTAATGCGCCAAAAAACACACGCACAAAAACACCTCTAATCGTTTGGTGGCCGTGCGGTCTCGGGCTCGTTTTTGCGCCCGCATCCACTGGCAGTGAGACTTTAATTACAATCAGCCCTGAGAGCGTAAAGATGGTATCGGTCGTCCACTACCACGCATTGTGGCATTCGGTGCTGTGGTCGCATTGGCCCGCCACACACAGCTCAATTAAATCGGAATGGACCGCTTTTATTCGCCATAGAATGCGCCACAATGGCGCCAGTGCGCCGCGGACGCCGCCGCCACTGTCGTTAATAATGCACTCACACCGTGACAGCGCCACTGGAACTGGGTGGTGGCGGTGGCGCCGGTAGTGGGGACGCTTTGGACCGTAGGAGTTTACTGTTGGGAGCACGACGGTGGGTAGTGTGGGTGGCGGTAGTGGCGGTAGTGGGGACGATTTGGACCGCATACATAGGAGACGGCTGTTAGGGACGGGACTGGGGTTGGTGGAAGGTGGCGCGGTGATGGGCGGACGCTAGGGACACTATGGACTTTGTTAAGGTGACGGAAGCGATGTTTCTGTGTTCTGTGAGGCACCTTAACATCGCGGTTCCCATGCTCACACCCAACAAGAATACACTTGGTGAACTTACAACACGTCTAGTGATGATCAGAATCTGATTGCCACAGTCGCCTCACCGCCTAAAACAGACTTTCAAAGACACAGCTTTCTGAAACTCCATTGCCATTGAGCCATGCCACCTTTGTCTTGCAAGCCTTACGCTTTAGCTCATTGTCAAACTGAAAGGCCAAACACTCCCACGTTCTGACCAACTGCGTGTTGGTGATAAATTGATAACGCCGCACCCCCTGCTGGTTTTCAATAACCGTCTACGTTTCGGCCGGTCGCTCGGCGTGTCAAGACGCCGTAACTCGCCGCAGTGACGTCTGCGTGGTCCGAACCATCTGTTAGCTCGGGGCGGTGACGGGCGTATCCGGTACGCCCTCCTAGGACGCGTGTGTGTGCGCACTGCGGCGGGTACGGTTCAATTTGCATAGCCCGTGTGGGCATTGAGCCGCTCGCACATAAATACCTGAACGGTACCACCACACTAGCTGTGGCTCGTCTGTCTGCCAGAGGCTGTAATTGTATGGTGTCGTTTGTTACACTGGCTCTGACGAAAAGGTCATCGACAGGAGTGGACTCAGTGACCCGGGAGTGTGATTGGTTTACCGAGAGGGGCTGTGGGGCCATATCGGGTTATTGAGGACGGCCTTACCGACCCTTAGAGAGGCTCTAGCTGAGTGAAATGGGACGAGGAGCTGCATAAGGAGCGTGTGTTTCTGCATGTGGATTGTGTTCTGTGAAGTCGACCGCTCCGCCCATCAATGCAGGACGGTAAAATACGATGAATATTCATAACTCCAGTCTCCATGTCTCTTATGTGCGGACTGCGGACTGCGGAGGTGAATTGAAAAAATTGCGACAGTCTCTCAATCAACCTGGCAGTAAAGCTCGGAATGATGATAGCCAGAGCCACCTAAAAATCGACTAGTGGAAAGCCATCGGAAGGCTGAAAATGACAATGGGCTCTCGGTATGGAATATGAGCGAGCAAAATGGACACTCTTGACTCTGCAATAGCTAAGAGAAGGCCTGCGTTTTGACTTCAGAACTGTGGGAGACCAAATCAATATAACGTCAAGTCGTTTCAAGCAAGCGGAGCTGAACTGGCTATGCTGAATGCGACGGTTTAACGGTATTATGCGGTTACCTCGTCGGCGCTTTTTACGTCCAAGATTATGCATCACGCTGTCAGTGCGGGCCTAATGATGTCGATTTGAACCGGAGAAGCACTGGGACACATACCGGCCGGTTACCGTTGGTTTTTGCCGGCGGCTCCAGTCAAAACCCTCTAATGACTTGATCCATCAGGCCGGCCGGTGCCCAAAGACCGTTGGCCCTCGGGCTGTCGGTGGCCCGTTCGGCCGCCCACAATCGGCTAGTTAGCCCGGCTATTGTGGCCGCGACCCCGTGCGTGTGCCTGCTTTTAACCCTTGGGGAGATGCTCCTCTCTGCCCCGCCGCAAAACGCTCCCATCACCGCGGTGGTATTTAGGGCGGTCATTTTCTATAGGTCGGCCGACTTTTTCTGGGTCGGTATTTTAATTCAATATAGCGTCGCTAATGACCATTTTTACATGTTGTGATTCGGACCAGTGTGCCCTAATGACCGACCTTGCCGGGGCCCAGATGGGGAGCGGGTAGCATCCATTGATCATCGCGCACATATCGCCGCCACAAACTAATTCCCGGGAATAAATCCGGCCACGGCCATTAATAACAGCCGTGTACGCGCGTCGGCCGTACGCAGGAGCATGGCAGCGAAAACGCCCGACACGATGCCGCTAATTTATTAGATAATGGCCGCTAAGCGCAGTGCAGCTGATGGCACAGTTCCGGTCGCGTTTTTGTTTGAAATTTTAGCCACTTACCGTTACAATATTTTACAGAGAGGCCGGCAAAGTGGCGAGACGTGTGTTATTAGTGGCGTCTGGCTGCTTTATGTGACAGCCAAACGCGCTGGCCAGTGAGATGCGACCCGACTGCGGTTGATGAATTTTGCTTAAGTGACCAACTATGTGAGCTATTGAAATCCACTTCTCCGGCGTCCAGCCCCTACACATGGACATGGACAATGTTTAAGGTGCTTCTATGAAGGAAGTGGCTATTTTGCGGCAAGAATGTGACATGGTTTGACATCACCATATATTAGTGTATTGTCAAGCACAATTGCTATTTAAGACATAATGTCATAATAATACCGGCTCATAACTTGCCTCCATGCCTCAAGAGCCTACTTTAGGTCATAATGCAGGCTATGCAAATCAATTCGTTCGGACATTTTGAAACTGATCTTCGCCATTGAAGCATTTTGCATCATCTTTTCTTTCCGACGCTCCTCACTTTACGCCACATCATTCACGCCTGCTCCAACAAAGCACCATCATGCAACTCTGCAACAGCCATGCAGCCGGGAATAGGCAACTGGCGCCACCCTCTCTCTCTCTCTCTCTCTCTCTCTCTCTCTCTCTCTCTCTCTCTCTCTCTCTCTCTCTCTCTCTCTCTCTCTCTCTCTCTCTCTCTCTCTCTCTCTCTCTCTCTCTCTCTCTCTCTCTCTCTCTCTCACTCACTCACTCTCTTTCCCTCTCTCTCCTTCTCCCTCTCTCCCTTTCTTAATTTCTTTCTTTCTTTCTTTCTTTCTTTCTTTCTTTCTTTCTTTCTTTCTTTCTTTCTTTCTTTCTCTTCCCTCTTTTTTACTACTCTCTCCATCTCATTATCTCTCTATCTCTACTATTTCTCTCCCTCTTTCTCTCTCTCCTCTTTCTCCCTCCCTCCCCTCCCTCCCTCCCTGCCTCCCCCTCTATCCCTCTCTCTATCTCTCTCTATCCCTCTCTCTATCTCTCTCTATCCCTCTCTCCCTCTCTCTCCTCTCTCTCCTCTCTCTCTCTCTCTCTCTCTCTCTCTCTCTCTCTCTCTCTCTCTCTCTCTCTCTCTCTCTCTCTCTCTCTCTCTCTCTCTCTCTCTCTCTCTCTCTACCGGGTCGTAGCGTCAGAAACGATATGCCATGGCTCGGCATCCGCTTCACACCCTATCCCCGGTCTATGAATACTGAGTGGTGAGTGGCGGCACCCTCCCCCTCTGCCCCCCCCCCCCCCACCTGCCGTCCCTGCCCGTTGACAAACAGACTTGCAATATTGTTTTCCTTGTTGCAATTAAGTCTTGCAAGCCGTATCCGGCACAGGGGCTGAGGATCGCGGTACCCCTGCCGGATGACACATAGCTCCATTTGGCGCGCCATGCAGGCAGACATTAGTCACAAAGAAACGAATTGATGCAGTTTTGTTCGGACACAGCTTGTGTTCAGACTTGTGACGTCACGATAGCGGACCTGAAGTCATAGGGTCAATTTTGAAAGATACTTGTGACGTCATGTAACTGACTAATTTTTAGACCTGTGTGAGAAAAGTGATTCACATTTCAAAAGCTCAGTTACGACGATTACCCAAACTCGATTCCTTTCCGGCTGATCAAAATGCTGCCGGATGTTTGAATGCTCGGCAACAGATGGAAACCATGAAGGGCTCTACATACATTTGGAGTCAGCTGGGAGATGCGGACGCAGCTGCACAAAAGCAATGACTTACCTGACACCATTGCCGACTGTGGGTTGAAATTAGCCGGCGGCTGATTTACAATTCCGACGTCAGATAACAATTAGTGGTAACGGCTGGCAGAAGGAGAGCGTCGGAAAACGGCCGAGCTCGTCCGTCAAACGTGGGGATCACGAGCGAAAAAAGACGCATAGGAGATGCAGTCAGTAATTTCGATGTAGATTTTGCAGCTGCTTCATGACCGCTGGATGAATTGAAGGCTCTTAAGGTGGCATGATCTCCAGTTGTTTTCTTGGCGTCTGATGAGAAAAGATGAAAATAATTGGTCAAGGTGAATAATTGGTCAATGAAAGGTGACAAGCAAGCAGTGTCTATGGCAAATAAAAAGCTTATGCGCTAAACATTGACACCGTTCATGCTCCGCGAAAACGTGGGAGCTTTGTCCGTCGTAAGCAACAGATCAGTAACCTGTGGGCGCAATGTACCTAATGTCGAAATGGCATAAAAAGGGACCTGCGCGCTGGAGATGCCGGGGCTTGAACCCGTGGCCTATCGCTTGCGAAGCGATCGCTCTTCCACTGAGCTACACCCCCTTCTTGGCGCTCTCTTTCCCCCCAAATTCGGCGATTAGAGATGGTGCATTCTGCGCCCGTTTTAATGAACTTGAAACAGGAAGGATTGTTTTCGTCGGATAGCTTTATTTCAAGCTCATTGATTTAGTTTTGAACAACAACTACTTCAGCCACGTGTTGTTGGTGTTGTTGCGAGAAATGGCTCTTAGCCGAGGCACTCGAGCATGCGTGACACTATTCCCGCTAATCATCAAATTACGTGCTTTCTTCCACCTTGAGGCCGTATATAATCCCACCAGGCCACTAATCTGGTAATGCTTGTTTTCTCCCGTAGGTTGAACTAAACTCCGTCACAGGATGGGTTTAAAGATTCGTCTCGCTTCTCTGGGGCTCGTCGGGCCGTCATACGTTGCTGCCACAGGCCAAGCCTGCCAGGCCGAGCTCTCATCCCCTCCGCCACCTCGCCACCACGGCTCCACACACGGTCCTCACGGCCACCGACCCGCGGACCCGACCAGTCGGTGCCTCAGCGAGTGCATTCTGACAAATGGTAGCCCGATAATTACGAACGCACCTCGCAGCGTTTCAATTAGAGAGAGGCCGGCGTAGCGCAGGCACGCCCGGGTCGAATATTTGTCAGCATACTGACAGCTAGCGGGGCGAACTGGGAGCCACTGCGGCTTCAGAGAGCGGCAGAGGTTCGTGCTTACTGCTTAGTAAGTTTTGCTTTGTGAATGATGAAGAAACGCCGCCTCGGCACTTGCACGAAGCTGGTCAGAGATAGGAAGATGAGTAAGTCGACTGATTTTCGGATTTGCTCTAAATCGTCTGAAGAGTGAGCCAGTCTTCTTCTAAAAATAGACTGCTTATGTGTTTTTGCAAGCAGTCCCGAGTCCGGGAAGCAAGCAGTTGTAATGTTAAAACGAGTATTATCTTTGGGCTGATCTCTCATGGCCTGGGGGATAAACTCGGATCCTAGCATTGTGTCCTGCCTCTATCCTGCTCTCTGCAGTTTGTGTGACCTTGGTGAGGTCGCCAGCACAACGCAGTGCGCCTCCCTGGACCGCCTCACACCAGAGCACTGACTGCCTCATCAGAGGAGCACGGACCGGCCCACACCAGAGCAGTGCTCTGTGCTCTCTCATCCGACACCCAGGCCTGTGTTACGTAACCCACCACCTGCGGACACAGCCCATCACCGTCCACCGCCCGCGGGCTCGTGCAGTATCTCCCATTACGGAGTTGATGTGGCCGCTGACCGCAGCCGGACCCACTCTGACCGCAGATCGCCCCTTCTGGCCACCTTCTGCCGTCTTCCACCTCCTCCCGAGGTGCACGGGGAAGTGCACAGGGTGCACGGGGTGCCCGCTCGATGGGTGCATCCGCGCAGTTCTCACCACGGCGTCACAGATCCGCTAACCAATCTGTAATTAGTGGCGATAACAGTAGCTCAGCTGACGCCAATTTACGGCCATCGTCAGGCCAAACGGCGCCGGTTGTGGCGCGCGAGCGGCGAGGAGACGATTGCTGCGCGCAGGCGGCGAGTGCGGCGCGGCAGGCGTGATGGCGAGGGCGGTGCACTGTGGCCGGCCAAATCACCTGTTTGCCGCAGCAGGTAACGTGGGTGGGAGGGCAAGCGTGCGCCCACACGCGAGCAAGTGATATCGGCGCTTCAACAGGAAAGTTCAGTTCAGCTTTGTTTTCGGCGGCTCGGCTGGAGATGAGCTTTCATCGTTGTGCTGAAAACCAGAGCTGGGCAAGTGCGTTCCTTTAGTGCGTTCCTGCGTTCTTCCGTACGTACGCACCGCCCTTTTTAGGAACGCAAGAACGCAGGAACGCAAAGTTTTTCAAAGGAACACAAGTAAGAGGAACGCACCACCCGAAATTTTGAAGCGTTCCTGCGTTCTTGCGGAACCACCCGAAAAATTATATTGCTGCCAATGACCTCTGTTTCAAATGTTTGAATCTCGAGTACGTGTGTTTGCCGGTAGAGGCGCCACTTGTCGGTCGAATCGAGGAAGGCTTGCTTAGATTTAGTGCTGATGTTTACTATTCGATTCGGTTTCAGGCATTAAATGTGTAAAGATTTTTAGAGGTGATGTTTACTATTCGATTCAGTTTCAGGCATTAAATGTGTAAAGTAAATATGATAACTTTTACTAAGATACATCTTTTAACTTAACTATTGTTTTTAAGCAGGTCGTATTTTTGTTGAAAACCCTACGGATGATATTGGTAAAACGTATTTCAGATATTCGATTCGGAAAAGAGATGTCGAGCTGCTTTTCGGCCCCACGTCGCCATTCTGGGTATTCTGTGATCGATTCGCCCCGTGTTTGGTTGGGCCCGCGCCGCGGGTTCGGCGGTATTTTTGAGGGAGGAACGCAGGAACGCAGGAACGCTAACGCACCGAGCGAAAAAATTGAGGAACGCTATTCCAGGAACGCACTAACCGCGGCCGGAGGAACGCAGGAACGCTAACGCACTACCGAAAATCGAGGAACGCGCCCAGCTCTGCTGAAAACCATTAATTTTGTAGATGCTAAGCATCGCTAAAATTGGCAGTAACTTTTTATTTTCACAAATATTGACTTCAAAATTCAAACATTTGTTTGTCAGTAAAATAACTTCAGATTCGCCTATTCAGTTAGGTATAATTCAGTTTATTGGGGTAATCGTGTCTTGCCACCGGCGATTCATACGACAAACTTAGCAACAGTCAGCTAGACCACATAGATATCCGATCATTTCTGCATATGGTCTCGCCCTCTCAACCCAATGCTGTTCCCTGCTCCGCCAGCACTCTGCGTTCCCGTTCCTGTTTTCTCGCTCGCCGGCATCCACAAAGGCCGCCTGTTTCTCTACTTTGGCCGCTGTGAAAACATCCTCGACCGGTGAATGCCTTCCCGGGGCGGTGTCTGTAAACGAACCGGGTCACGGCGAGTCGGCCTGACTCACGACTGACTCACGGCTGACTCACGACTGACTGCCACGCCCGTGACGAACGTCGGAAGTGACTCGAGCTGTCCGCTGAGCGGCGGCGGAGATATTTGGGTCGGAGAGCCGGTGTACGGTTACGGAGGTAGGACGCAAGCGTGGAAAACTGTTGCTGGGCAGGCACATGACTGTGTGCCTGTCTTTGACTGCCTGGGCGACTTTTTCTGCTCCTCTTTCCTCTTAGCTCCTTTCTTGTCATGTCCTGTCCTGTCTTTTCATCTCATACGATTTTCTTCGTCGTCCTTTCCTCTCCTTCCCTACCCTGTCCTATCCTCTCTTACTTTCTCCTCTCCTCTCCTCTTCTCTCGGCTCTCCTTTCCTCTAATTTCCTCATCTCTCCTATCCTCTCCTCTCCTCTTCCCTCCCCTCCCCTCTGATCTTTTCTTCTCTCCTTTGAACAGTGCAGCCGCAGCAGTCACCGTCCCGGCGTCCCACGCCGTTTGTTCTCCGTCGCACGTGCAGCTCCAAACCCAGACACAGACTGACACCTGACACTCGATACTCTGACACTCGACACTCGCTGACACTCAACACTTGACACCAAGCTCGGGTGCACCTGCAGACACTATTCCCGCCACAGACAGGGCCAAAACGAGCGGGCGTCTTGTCGCTGCCAAGTGTGTTGCTGGGAGGGAATACGTATTACGTACTCGGGCCTGCTGCAATGTAGTCTGTGTCTTAGTCATTGCGTGGTTCGAGCGATGATGGTGCGCGTCGTATTGCGAGCCAGGGTCTTATGGCGACGGTGAGTCGGCGGAGGGAGAAATTGATCAGCCTTTGTCTAGGGTTCAGAATGACGTGATATGACGTGATATGACGTGTACAGAGGTATGATCTAGGCTAATGTGGTGAAGCCGGGCAGTGCGCTCCGGGACACGAGCGGGTACGGGTGTGAATAGAGGCATCTGAGTGTACTGGACTTTTTGCATTACTACAAGCTATTTCGGCAACCATGTCACAGGAAAGCGCTGTGGCAAGTTCGGCGCTGGACATGCGGCTAATCCCCGAGTTCGATGGCGGTAACGCCTCTGTGGAAGAGTGGCTGGATAAGACGGAGCTCGTCTGTCAGCTGCGCGGAGTGTCCGACATTCAAACCGTCGTCCCCCTGCGGTTGACCGGCGGAGCCTTCAGCGTCTACCAGCAGCTGAAGCCCGAGGAGAAGCTGCAGTACTCTGCCGTCAAAGCTGCCCTGCTGCGGGCGTTCGCTGTGGATAAGTTCCAGGCGTACGAGGAGTTCACGGCGAGAAGACTTCGTGTCGGCGAGAGCGTCGACGTCTACCTGGCAGACCTGCGGCGGCTGGCCTCCCTGTTCGGCGGGCTCGGCGACACGGCGCTGATGTGCGGCTTCGTGGCCGGTCTCCCGGATGCGGCGAGGCATACCTTGAGGGCCGGCTGCCGCATGGAGAGCCTGACGCTGGCCGAGCTGGTGGAGCGGGCTCGGGCGCTGATGGCAGAGAATGCCGTCGCTGCAGCCGCTGCCGCCGCTGCGCCGGCCCGTTCCCGCCACACGCCGGCGTCATCACGGTGTTACCGCTGCGGTCGAGCCGGTCACTTCGCTCGTGACTGCCGGGCGGAGAGGAGAGCGGACATCATCTGTTTCCGGTGCGAGCAGCCAGGACACGCCGCGGCACGCTGCCCGGAACGGATGCCGGGAAACGCGTCAGGAGAGGCGGTGTCTGCGCCAACCTCCTCTCGGGCAGCCCAAGAGTAAGAGGCGCGCTACCGACGGTGCAGCTGCTGGTGAATGGGCAGCGCAGAGTGGCTGTTATCGACTCGGGCTGCAGCTGCACCATCATCCACGAGTCGTGCTGCGCGAGCTGGAGACGGTGCGGCGTGACTGTAATGGCCGTCAACGGGTCCCGGCTGCCAAGCAGCGGAGTAACGGAGGTGGCGGTTCAGCTGAAGAGCGGCGGGCCCGCGGTGACGCTCAGCGCCGTGGTAGTGCCGGACAAACCACTGGGCGTGGATATGCTGGTGGGGATGACCGGCATCGCGGCGCTGGGCGGGGTGACAGTGCGGGCGGC